GTGTTTGAGTTTCTCCACCTGTTCCCTCTTGATTTGTTCCCTATTTAAGCCTCCTCTTGTTTGCTGTCTTTGTCGGATCTTTGTCTATTGTTGCCTGAATTCCTTGCCTTGTTCTTGTTATCATCCCGTTTTCGTGTTTCTAGTTTAGTTAAGTTTTATGTTTCATTTATTATGTTTTCCCCCCCTCGTGGGTTTTTGCTTTGTGTTTTGGTTTTCAGTTGTTAATAAATATTTCACTTTTTGAACTTGAGTCCTCCTCTCCACTTTTTGTAATCCACCCGTGACAGAACGACAAAGACAGCAAACAAGAGGAGGCTTAAATAGGGAACAAATCAAGAGGGAACAGGTGGAGAAACTCAAACACCAATCAGGTAACGAGGGGGAGGGATCAAACATTGACAGAGGCACATGGCCCAACATAACAAAACACCCATGTGCAACACAAGACCGGACAGACATGTGACATGCTTATGTACAGATTTAAACTTAAAAATCTCAAACTAAAATCCACGCCAACATTCAAATGTATGAAAACGGTCTTTGAGGTGGAAAAGTGCAGGTATGGAAACCGCAGGTATTAAAAAATCTATGCAATTTTCGTCGGTCACGATTCTCATACATTTACATTTTTTCATTTAGCTGACACTTTTATAGTAAGCGACTTACAATTGCTATGTATGTCAGACGTCGCACGCCTCTTGAGCAACTAGGGGTTAAGTGTCTTGCTCAGGGACACATTGGTCACAGTGGATTCGATCCCGGGTCTCTCACACCAAAGGCATGTGTCTTATCCACTGCACCATCACCACCCTTATTCTCAAGCATTTGGATGATGACTGGTGCTCTTTTATATTAATGACTTTAAATTAGGGCGCTTTTACAAGACGGAGATCTGAAACCATTCAGCTGTGCACAGTTTCAAGATCAATGGAAATGTATAAATTTCATATTTGGAAGAGAGGTTGTACGCTCTGAGCCATTTACACCTGGTATTAAAATGCGATCCGTATCCAGATAAGTTATCCGGATAATAAGTGTTCTGATCTTACCGATTCCATTTACACCTGGTCACATAAATGTGTTTTTGCAAAACGGATATAAATCCGATCTTCAACTCCCACATTATATGCAGATTTAATGGATTGCACGCCACCAAAAGCAACAGATATGAGCTGCATTTTATTGACATCAATAAGAGAGAGTGGCAACAGCCCTGGTAAGATCATTCCGTTTCTTTACATGAAGATGATTGTGTGTTAAGCGTCGGTGACTTACTATCACTTTTATTTGCGATGTTTGCACGTTGGCTTGATGAATAGACGCTCAGCTGCTCATCTGCGGTGATGCGTGTCGCAATAGCGCCGTCATATCTGACTATAACATGACATATAGCCTATATAACACGCTCTCACTCGTTTATTTTTTAGCATTTTTTGGGAGGAGTAAAATATACATATGTGGTTTCAACAACCAGATTGCATTTACACCTAGTAAAGATCCGAACACAATGCGAGCCAGACTACCTCCAGATGTGGTCAGGCAGATCCGATCCCAATGCATTCACACCTTGCATTAACATGCGTTTTTTATTATCCAGATAACTTATCTGGATACAGATCGCATTTTAATACCAGGTGCAAATGGGGTCTGAATCACGCAGGCCTACACACGTTGGAGAAATGAGCGTATTTGTAGGATGGTTTCTACTCAACATTTTATAAATGAGGCATGTGAGCTTTCATTATGTTCACTTTAAACCATGTCCTTTAGGTCACATTGAATTGTATAGAAAAAAAATGTATACTTCAGTGATGAACTAATCAATTACGTTCTTTCTGTTGAGTTTCCAGCGTCCCTGGAGAACCAAGATTAGAGTTTGCTTAAAGGTATAGCGGAGGATCTTTCCGAATTTTAGAGAAGACCCCGCCCTCTCCAATTTTTTAAAAAAATGCACATGCACAAACACAACACTCTTACTCCCGAGAGGGAACGTCTATACGCCTTGCACAATTATGTTCCAAATTCTAAACTAACTAAAAACCATTCATAAAAAAGACAACATGTCAAATGCCCTTCTGTGTTTTATTTACTTATTATACTGATCGATTGAGTGACCGAGGACTCAAGACATGATATGTGCAACCCTGTATCACACGAAATACGTTCTGAGGAAACTATTTTGCAAATCGCAATTACGTTACATAGCAACATATAAGCAGTGCTATTACGTTGGTCCTTAACCTAATATCTCTCATTGTTAATACGTTATTTTTATACATAGTTGCATATGGAGAAGTAGCTTGTTGCCATTTACCATTTTGGACAAAAGGCTACTTTAGACAAATTTAGATGTTTACCGTGTCTATGCGGTGCATGACTCGTGCCAGGGCTAGCATTGTAGCTTGCATTAACTTTTACTAGTGATTTTAAATGGATTTCTCCAAATAGCGTGACAAACTTTACCTGTGTAGTAGAATCTTCGCGACTGCGGCATCAGTGAGAAGCCCAACCTGTGCTTTTAGCGCACGCCAGCGTGTGATATTCACCCAAAATCTCTCTGGTCTTGTTTTTATATTCTGCGGCCTTTCTCTTCTTATCATACACTTAGTAAACATTTTTTCTCTTTCGACCCTCAGCCATTTTCAAAGGAATGGCTGAAACCGTAACTCCGACATAATACACCTGAAAGTGAAAACTACATAGGGATGAGCACGTAGCCTACGACGGCCTTACGTAAACATATCACCAGAATGATTGACACTTAGGTGGACCAATAGTATAGACTACCCACCCGGAAAAAGAAAATCCTCCGCTATACCTTTAATGCAGAGAATCCTTTTCAACCTATTGACTCTCTGAAGGTCATTCTTGGGTCGTCTTTTAATTTTTTTTTTTTTTAGGTCAGAACACTTCTTGTGGATTGAAGAAAATTTCAATTCATCACATTTGTCTTGTCTTGTTTGTCTTGTGTTAGTTTCTGTAAAGCTGTTTTGAAACCACATGTGAAAAGCACTATACAAATAAATGTGAATTGAATTGAAGTTTTATACATGGGGAAAATACCAGTGTGTGTTGAGAAACGTTTTCCTCGTCGCTGACTAAATTCAATTTCTCAGTCCAGTAGTGGTTGATCGAACATGTACTGAAAATATGTGTACTTGAAAAGTCCTTTTCATGGTTATTTTGCCTTTTCGATTCATGGATGATTAAGTACATTTAAAAGGCTTTTTTAATGTGGCTTTGGTATTCGGTCTTGCACATCCCACCATATGATGTATTTCAGAAGAGAAACAGTATGTTCTACTCATGCTGCCTGTCAGACTCCTGACTGTAGCGCCTGTGATGACGTGTGGGTTGGCTGTGAGTAAGACTGACGCAAGACCGTTCCGTTAATCATGTTCTGAGATACTGTGTGCAGGACAGTTGAAGTGTAGGTACAGGATTTCAGTGATGTTAAGTGTTTGAAATTACACAATTATACTTTATAATGCTAGACAAGCAGAGTGCATTTAAATGATGGTTCCTCCATGATGCACTTAGTGTTTCTGGTGATGCGCTTCTCTTGTAATATGGTTCCATTCATTGGGATAGTACTAGTTTTCTCAAGTGAAAAGTATTAATGTATCTGTGTTTATTACATGTGGTTATACTATTTGTGGAGTATTGGGCAAAGAAACCTGTATGTTTTCAAAAGGAAAGTTATCAATCACAACACAGTTTAAAAAAAAAAATGTACAGTTCTTTCAGCATGTGTCCACCACGCCGTCTTCACCTTTATTTTATTCATTTTAATGTATTATTTATTATTTATGGAGTTGTCCAGAGGAATATTTAGAGCCCGAGTTGAGTCTCATGCTTGAGACCTCCATCAAGGACGGCAAACTAAACCATTTTTTTTTCTTGTATCTCACTCAAGGATTATATGAAATATGAAGTCGGGAAGCTTTTATATGGCTGGGCAACACAAAGGTCTGAATACTGACCTTAGATTGTAGAGACTTGGTGTAATTCTTTCTAGCTCTTTATGTTTTCCTCTTGATCTCTCACTCTTATACATAAAAACTCTTCACAGGTCAGTCCATATATGGTGGACTTTAAATTGCATATCATTTTCGGACATTATTAGTTTTATTTCCTATATTTCTAAAGTTAGCGGTACTTGTCCATCATGATTTAAGACGTTCCAATGAACATCTTGTGCTTTGATAGAAATTAGTTTGAAATAGTAAATGTAAAATAATAAATTAAACGTAAGTTTTAACATTTTAAATTGTTTAAAATAATTGTCAGCTTTTGAATTACAGATTTAATTTTATACAGCATAATAATACACTAAGCATAGATTTCAACTAAAAATTTTTTATGCGTTTTAGCCACTCATTTAAATGACAACAGCGTTTTGGGGGCCTGAAAATGCACATTTTTGAAAAGTGTTTCTGAAACATTTTTGAAAACAATACCGCTATTGTCTCTGTGTAAACTACTGTACAAAAACGTGAATTTGGGAAAACAGTGGCGTCATGCGCATGCGTATTACGTGTTCAGTCTCTAGGTGTGCAGTGTTTCTTTACAAAGTGATGTATAAGAATTAATTCAAAAACATAAAAAAAAAAACTTTTGAATGTTAGTGTATATGGTTTATGCACCTACATAGCATTTATAATGTAAGTTCAAATGACTCAAGTCTTCCCATAAAGACGCCTACATAGTAGGACATTTTCATTTACAGCCATTACCATATTTAGATGAACATAATTACTAATTTGTGATTCTTGCCTCTTCTCTGTGATGACTTTCAGTTACTGCATGGTGGGAGAAGCAGGGTTTAAGAGCGCATCCATGTGGACTCGTTTAAACTAAACTACAGTGACTCAGCACTTTCTGCCACTGTGTGGCGGCCATTTAGTGGCTGACAGCAGAGTATTGGGTGTCCACTCAGGATCTCTAGCATGTTTTATTAACCTTACTTATTCTCTGCCATTTTTTTCCTTGTCTTTCAGCCATCATCAACCCCAAAGCACCCAAAGAAAACAAAAGCTTCAATTTCGATTACTCCTACTGGTCACATACCTCGGTGAGCCAGAACTAGTTAGAAACTTTGCAGTGAAATGCACAAAACAGAGCTGTTTTGCTTTTAAAGTCAGTCTTCAAAATGTCATATTTTTCTTCATCTGTCCACAGCCAGAAGATATCAACTTTGCCTCCCAGCAGCAGGTGTACAGAGACATTGGAGAGGAGATGTTACTTCATGCCTTTGAGGGCTACAATGTCTGTATTTTTGCATATGGCCAGACCGGTGCCGGTAAATCCTATACCATGATGGGTAAACAGGAGAAGGACCAGCTGGGGATCATTCCACTGGTAAAAAATAGATGCATGTACAAGCAAATATGAAGAGGAGTAATCATTTCCAAATATCAGTTTCACCACTTTTATACAATTATTAGCTACTTGAGTGGCCTTTTTGTGTATCTAAAGCACATTATTGTCTCTCCATCACTGGCTTTACTGTATAAACAGGAAAATGATGAAGCATTCAGAGGCAGTGTGAACAAGATCAGTTCAAACAGAATTAAACGACAAGTCAAACACCAAGCTGACCTGTACAAAGATCATTATTCACTAACTAATCTCTCTTTATTATGTTTGTCTCTTTCCCCTTTTCTCCTTCACACTAACCGTCAGCTGTGTGAGGACCTTTTCACCAAGTTTAATGACAACAACACTGATAACAACATGTCCTATTCTGTGGAGGTAAGATTGGGTCAAACCCTGTTTTCTATTCTTCTGTTTGGTTTGTAGCATCTCATTAAGACTCTTTTTATTGTAAATTCTGTTTGTGATTTTTGTTTCAATTCTCATTTATATGGTGTCTGTGCTTTTAAACAGGCTTTTATTTTTGTCTTTCCAGGTTAGTTATATGGAGATTTACTGCGAGAGGGTACGAGATCTTCTGAACCCCAAAAACAAAGGAAATCTGCGTGTGCGAGAGCACCCATTACTGGGCCCATATGTAGAAGATCTGTCCAAACTCGCTGTCACATCATATAATGACATTCAAGACCTGATGGACTCAGGGAATAAGGCTAGGTATTCTATTCTATTCTATTCTATTCTATTCTATTCTATTCTATTCTATTCTATTCTATTCTATTCTATTCTATTCTAATGGCGGGTTGATATCATGTCTGTATTACTGTAGTTTTCAAACTAGTAAAAACTTTAAAAGTGTAGTAATTCTTTAAACTGATCAAAACAGCCTGCAAAAACATTTATAATGTTACAAAATTGATTGTTTCTAACTCTAACATGTTTCTAACATTTTTTTTATCACAGTTTCCAAAAAAAAAAAGCAGTACATCTTGAGCACTGCATCAGCATATTAGAATTTCTGAAGGATCATGTGACACTGATTACTGGAGTGATGGCATTACAGGAATAAATTACATTTTAATATATATATATATATATATATATATATATATATATAAATTAAATAGAAATCTGTAACAAAACAGCCAAAAAAAAACAACATAAGAGACTTCTTTCAAAAACATAAAACTCTTGAATAGTATTGTTTATTGAGCACATAATTAAAAACTGTTATGAAAGTTCCAAATGCTCTCATTTGATTGTCATGAAACCAAAATCAGCAGCGAAAGAAAACCAGGAACCTGATATCATATTTGGTAACACTTTATAATAACTGCACGCTATTAATCATTAGTTAACCATGAGCAAACAGTTAATACATCATTTATAAAACATTAATAGACATTAATATGCAGTTTATAAATATAGCTATACATGTTTTTTCTTGATTTATAAGCATATCTATAATGCGTTTAATGATTGTATTTTCATACTTTGTTAATGCTCAATTAATAATTTCTAAATGAAGTATAGCATTATTTACAAACCAGTTGTTTAAGAGTTGTCAGTCATTTATAAGACCACTTAGAAAGTGTAAGTAAATGTAGTAAATACAGGTAGTTATAAAGCATTTATTAGTGGTCAGTTAACTATTTTTGTGAGCTAATCTAAAGTGAGGACTATTCATGCTTTGTAAAGCATTTATAAAGGTGATTTAAAGACTCGTCAATCTTCTAAACAGTAAAATGTAACAAACACAACGCAGTGATACAGAACATAGAAATATTTAACAGCCTTTAAAAATGCTTTACAAGGCATGACTAGTCCTCACTTTAGATTAGGTCACAAAAATAGTTAACTGACCACTACTAAATGCTTTATAACTACCCAAATTAATCCTTAATTACAGCATTAATACACGTTAATAAAGCATTTATTAACACATTAAGTAACCATCACTATATGTCTGAATAATAAGATGTATGAATGTACATTTAAATAGTTTATTAATCATTTACTTACTCGCTCTAAGTAATCGTATGAACCACGGACAACTCTTAAATAACTGGTTTATAAAAAATGCAATTCTTCATTTAGAAATGATAAATTGATCATTAATAAAGGATGAAAATACAATTATTAAACAAATTGTAGATATGCTTTTAAATCAAGAAGAAAGCATTTATAGCTGTATTCAGGGCCTTAAGTTAACTTTTTCGGCCACCGGCCACTGTGGCAGGTGGATTTAAAAATTCACCTGCCATAGAGACTTTTTACCAGCCATTTTTTTTTTGCCTCATAAACGTGAAAAAACAAACAAAAAAAAAACAGGAATTTCACAATATTGTTCTTTAACTTGTAAGAATACACATTTAAGTGCTGTCAAGTAATAATAACTCTAACAACATACATTTAAAAAAAAATCTTTTTATTAATTGATTTTGACAGACACACAAACACAACATATATAGTATAGGCTAGCTATAATATAGGCTACAACAGATAGACCTACCGCAGCTCGTAAGCAAATCACACGCGGCTGTGTTGATGGCGGATTTATTCACGTAGACAGGTCTTACTCTTAACAGCTTTTAGTTACAGCGTTCAGGAACCGTTAAATATGAACTAAATTAATACTGTTATTACTGGTAAAATTACCGGGTACCGGACATTTTCTCACCAGTTCCCAACTCCCAACATGCACAGTTGCACACGTCACGCACACACATCTGTGCAACTGTCATTGTACTGCAACCTACGTCAGCGTTACATTATCTCATCCCATCTCACCAACAGTTTAATACTTAATACATCCAAACGTAGTCAGAAAAAGGGCCTCATCTTCTTTCTGATCGCATGAACGTTGCGAAACAACAGTCGCTGTCATAAATCAGCCGCTCACGAACCTTGCCATTGCCGCCGATTGTTCACTTTGTATTAAAATGTCTTCTTTACTTTTCTTTTTCTCATCCTCATCTTTGCGTTGGCTGTTTGTTGCAGCTGGCCTCTTTACCCCAGTAATGTGCCGCCACATTTTAGCTAAACTCCAACGCAATAGCGGACTTTGTTGAAATGTAAAAATCCTAATGAATCACTCACAATTCTCATTGGCTACCTGCCAATGTGGCAGGTAGATTGACAGTGTTACCCGCCAACAGCAAACTTCACCCGCATTTGGCAGGTGGTCGGGTGTTAATTTCAGGCCCTGGCTGTATTTATGAACTGCTTATTAATGTCTATTAATGCTTTATGAATGATGAATTAATGGTTTACTCATACTTAACTAATTATTATTAGCGTGTAGTTATTATAAAGTGTTACCTCATATTTTTCATTTAAGAAGCCATTTCATTCATTCATAGCCAGTGTTACCTGGTGCCTTTTCTTTGTTTTTAAAGTTTTCTAAGAATATATAGAAGCAAATTAATGTATTCATTCTATTATTATGCTTTCATCTAAAACAAAGCCGAGTGTTTTGAGTGTTGCCGTAGTAACACATCATTCCGGTGTCTGAGTACACACTGTTAACAGTTCAAACTAGAATCTCAGACTCTTGTAGTTACAGTAATTCTAACACAATGTGAAAGCATTTTTATTCTATTTCTGTTTTTGCTGCACAGACCTGTGGTCTCACTTGAAGATTTGTACAGTCCTGGTCACATTTGTTTTTCAAGGTCTTCATGGTCCACATTGAGGGGAAAACAAATATTTACTTCATCATCATGCTTATCATCATAATGCCATGGAAACAAATGGATCTTTTTAATTCCAGGAGGCATTATGTTTGTACATTCCTGTTTCCTCAGCTTAGTGTCACTCAACAGTTCTTTAATCCCAAGGTGTTGAGATACATCCCTGCCAATACATTACACCTTCCTCCTACATGATACATTTAGCCTGTTATGTAAGTTGATGGTTTGGCACAACAGACAGGAGCTAATTGAGTGGAATACATAATTAGGAGGTCTACATTTTGCACCTTTTTTTGCGCAACAGATGACAAGTTACTGTGTTATCTGAGGTCTATCGGAATTGAATTTTAGCTGATGAATAAGCCACCATTTCAAAAGTTTGGTGTCTGTAATAATTTTAAATGTTATAAATGTTTATGAATGTATTATGCTCACAAGACCATATTTATTTGATTTAAAATACAGTAAAAACTGTAATATTGTGAAATATTATTACAATTTAAGTTTTCTATTCTAATATATTTTAAAAAGTAATGAATTCCCGTGAAGGCAAAGCTGAATTTTGCAGTCATTACTCCAGTTTTCAGTGTCTCATATATCAGAAAGCAATATGCTGAACATTTCTTGTTGTTATCATCAATGTAGAACATATTTGTTCAACTTAATATAATTTTTGGAAATTGTGATTTATATTTCTTCAGATTTATTTGACAGACAGACAGACAGACAGACAGATAGATAGATAGATCTAACTGACCCCTAACTTTTTTTATTTAATGATATTGCACATTAGAGAATGGATCTGAATACAGCAGGGAAACATTTTGATGATCATTACATTTTAGTTCAACACCAGATGATTCCCAGAGGCAGAAGTTTGTGCAAATGCTTTGGGATTATGATATGTAGATTTGAGAAATCTAAATCCACAGTAATACTTCAAATGAGTTATAATCTGAGCACTGAATGAAGTTTCTGAATGGGGAAATTCTGTTATCCAGGACAGTAGCTGCCACTAACATGAATGAGACCAGCAGCCGTTCTCACGCTGTCTTCAACATCATCTTCACCCAGAAGCGGCATGACTCAGAAACAGACAACACTTCAGAAAAGGTATGTGCTGCTCTTGCATGTTATAGACCCTGTCAATCATAACAAAAGCCTCAATTTAGAGTGTGAGGATCGGCCACTTTCCCATCCTTGCACATCAGGGCTGTATTGGTTGACTTTTAACATTGGGACTTTTTTTTCACTATGGGTGATGTGAAAGGTGATTTGAGCTCAACATGTTTACCTTTTGACCTCTTCTGAACCACTCTGTTAGGTCAGCAAAATCAGTCTGGTGGATTTAGCCGGCAGTGAGAGAGCAGACTCCACTGGAGCCAAAGGCACACGGCTCAAGGTGAGAGGTTTTTTTTTTTTTTTTAGCTGTCCAAATTCACTTCCCATTATCTATTGATCTTTCATGCTCTCTAACTCCTTCAGTCTCTCTATGGCCCTGTTCACACCTGGTATTAAGATGAATTTTGGTCAATGGGTGTAAATGGGCTCTAAAACGTTTTGAGCTTGTCCACATTCGACCACTTCCAGAGGTAGTCTTTACGCATTTGACCAGTTTCGTAGTGAAGACGATCATGTGGTTGAATGACGCTTGCTCTCCGCCTTCTGACCTAATGTGTAAACATTATAGAAACGGCACAACCCAGATGGGGATTTAAACTTTGTCGCCTAAAGACTAGGGGTGGAATGGTACATGTATTCGTATTGAACCGAAACGGTACGGGCGTCACGGTTCGGTGCACGAATTTAAACGGAGAATACACGGTATAAAAATAAATAAAACTCGCGTGCGTATTAATGTAATGCGGAACTACTGTTAGATACGCGGGTTCTTTAGGGACACACTGGTTCTATGTCTTTATTAATAAAATGTATTTAAAAAATACAATGCCTTCTGTATTTTTGTTTTTTCCCTCCATTGTACCGAAATCGTACCGAACCGTGAGGTCTGAACCGAGGTATGAACCGAACCGTGACTTCTGTGTACCGTTCCACCCCTACTAAAGACCCAAGTTTTGTTTGATAAACGTACTAAGCTCAATGGTCTCTCACCTTTTCTGACGTGTAATCACGCTCAGAGCAGAAGCAAAAAGCAAAAGCTGCTTTTGTTTGTTTCCCGTTGTCTCCTTGTTTTGTGCTCATTTGTAAATTGCGCGAGCTTACTTTATCCATTAAATCGAAAGATCTGAAAAAGTCCATACGTTTACCCACCCATAGACCTTCCCCTCAAAGAAATCAGGACTGAAGTGGTCGAAAGTGGACACAAGAGATGGATTAAAACACGAGGAAATTTGTCTTTTCTTTTCTTTTTTCTCTCTCGTCCGATAAAACAAAACTTTTGCAGGTGTAAACAGGGCCTGTGATCTTCCACATTATTGTACCCACTCTGTATGGCTCTTCACACTTAGCTAGAAATAGTTAGCCCTGGCACCTGGGTCATTTGTAAACCCACAGTTAAACAAATCTGGGTTATCTTGCTTCACGTTTCATGTTGCTCATAATTTACCCAGATTGATTTAATTTATTTCATTATACAAATATTTCTTGGTATTCAAACACCGAAGTTACATTTAGATTCCTAGACTCTGGGTTAATGTCCTTTTGGGCATATTTGCGGTGTCTGTATGGGACCTGTTTACATAAAGTTCTAGTATTGATTGCATATCCTCGTATTACGTATATATTAGATACTACATAAATGCTGACTCATACTTTTTTTCCTGAATTGACATTTTAGACTATAAAGGTACAAATTAAAAGGTCTCTACAGTATTTCACAATTGACATGGTTTGCATCACCATTTGACTTTTTCCCCTCGAATGCTGAAATGACAGCAAACACTCAGATACAACACTCAGTGTTTCTGTGACTGTCCAAAGCATGTGAATTTGAGGCACACGGTTGTCTAGCCCATATCATTCTAACACCGCTTTGCGTTAAAACTGGTTAAAACTTAATCAGAAAACCCAACAGTAACCCTTCTCTGGAACAGGCTTTCATTATCCTAGGTAAAAAGTAAAGACTAAATTACAAGCGAGAAATGTTCCTATACCCGGGGGTTATAGTGTGAAAAGCCAGTGTGTCTAATTCTCTTGAATACTTTCTACTCTCAGTAGTGCATTGAGAGCATTTTGACAGCACTTCTCTTCGTTCTATCTTCAATAGAATTTAGTATATTGACAAATAGTATCTTCAATACTTTGAGTTTGGAATTGTAATTTTTTTTCTACTTTACCCTTTGCATCCCAGGAAGGGGCAAACATCAATAAATCACTCACTACCCTGGGAAAAGTCATTTCAGCTCTGGCTGAGGTGGTAAGTGTTTTGTATTGCTTTGAGCCTTGAGGATGTTTGATGATTTGTTATTTTCAACATAAAAGTTCAATGTGTGTCAGTTTAATCACATGCAATGTATTTTATCACTTATTTTCACAGGATTCTGGCTTAAACAAGGTATAACACTGTTAATTAAATTCCATCTGTCTGTCTGTCAATCATTTATTATATACTACCATTCAAAAGTTTGAGGTCAGCAAGATTTTTTTTTAAATTAATTATTTTATTCAGGACGCACATTAAAATGATCAAAAGTGACAGTAAAGACATTTACAATAATAAAAATTATTTCTGTGTCAAATAAGTTATGGTCTTTCTAAATTTTCACATTTAAGACACTAAAGACTAAAGACATTTTTTTTAAATAAAATTCATTCAGTTGAATGAAAATCACAGAAATAAATTATAGTTTAATAAACAGAAAATTAAAAAAAAAACAGTTATTTTGTAATATTATTTGCAACAATATTCCATATTATTGTTTGTATATTATATAATTTTGATCAAATAAGCGTATCCTTAAACGTAAACACATATAACAAATAATTCTTTACCAATCCCAAACTTTCTAACAATATGTAATATAATATAATATAATATAATATAATATAATATAATATAATATAATATAATATAATATAATATAATATAATATAATATAATATAATATAATATAATATAATATAATATATTATTTTCTTCACAGAACAAAAAGAAGAAGAAAGTGGAAAATTTTATTCCTTATAGGGATTCGGTACTGACCTGGCTACTGAGAGAGAACCTTGGTATGTATCAAAGGTGTTCTGTCGCATGAAACAGGACAATAATGTATTCTCTCTCTTGAAACATTTGACCTTTTGACCTCATACAGGTGGCAACTCTCGCACTGCAATGGTGGCCGCTCTGAGTCCAGCCGACATCAACTATGATGAAACCCTCAGCACTCTCAGGTATCCTGCCTCAGTAAAACACCAGTTTTATATTTTTTCCCTCTCTGTCTGAGGTTAGTTAATGAGCTGACAGATATAGCAGTATGTTACATAATGAGAATATTCCCGTTCCCTCTCCACACACCTGCATCCCTCTTGAAACGCCCTTCAAAGATGCTGGTGTGTGCAGTAACACTGCTGAAAGGAGTAATTGGGCACCTATCCGAAGTGAATGTGTGCGAATAGAGTAGAATGTCACTTTAAAATGGATTTTTTTCCCCCTCCATAATACTGTATGAACATATATATATATATATATATATATATATATATATATATATATATATATATATGTTATATATATATATATTTATATATATATATATACAGTATATATATGTGTGTGTGTGTGTGTGTGTGTGTGTGTGTATATATATATATATATATATATATATATATATATATTATAATGGAATAGCCAAAAAAAAAGCAACATTGTTAAAGCACAATTTTGTATATATATTACCACTCATTAATTCTTGACCAAAGTGCAGTCACTCACTAACATTTGTGTGTGTGTGTTACGCAGGTATGCGGACAGGGCTAAACAGATCCGTTGTAATGCTGTGATCAATGAAGATCCTAATAACCGTCTGGTGCGTGAACTGAAAGAAGAGGTGGGACGTCTGAAGGACCTCCTCTATGCCCAGGGCCTGGGTGACATCATTGAGAGTAAGACCATTTGCTTTTTATCTGCTCTGACGTCTTTCTTTTCCTTATAAATATTTCATCAGACAGTTAATGTGACTCATTGACTGCTATTTCTTTCTGGTACTGAAACATATATATATAACATATATATATTACTGCATATGTTTTATTGTTCTGTTCCAAATCCTAGTAAGCTGCCTATACAAGAGCATTTTAAGACACTACAGATGGCAAAGGCTGTTAAAAAAAAAAAAAAAAAAAAAAAAATAGACAACTTAAATGCTTTCTAAGATTTTCTATTTGAGTGTCAGTGCAGAGCATTACTTTTGCACCCCATGAAGTTGATCTCAACATAAGCTGCTTCCAAAATCACTTACTATAAAATACACTAGGTTTGGTTTTAAACTTACTTTGCTTATAGCTACACTGTGTGATGTTTACCCCCATCTAGCGGTGAAAAGGTATATGACCATCCAGTGAATATTAGTTTCTGTTCCTCTCATTTCCGATTTCGTTTTAACTCCTACGGTGGCCAATGTAGTCCAAGATTGACATGGCTTCCAGTTCGACCTCGTTCATGAGTGTTAACTTAAACGTAAACGCGAAAGGCGAAGCTTGAATTAATGGATATGTCCCTCTTTGGCGTGAGGGACTTTCGTGATGGAGGGGCAACATGGCGACCGACATTAGAACCCCTTACCCGTATGAATTTTCAATGGCATATTATACACTCACGAGAATACTTTATTACTTGAACGAAGTAAATATATATTAATGAGCACATATATTTTTGAAAAAATTAAGTGATTTTAGCTAAGAATACACTAAAAGAGTTACACAGTGTAGCTTTAAGTTCTATATAGGATGAATGTGTTTAGTTCGAATTAAATTTGGACGTACTACGTCATGTGACCTTTAGGGTCATTTATGTTGATTCTCTGTCATTCACAAATTCTCTCCTGTGGCTTCATAGTAAAGTGTCTTTCGGCTGCGCACATTATAATCTCGCTGGAAGTAGTATAAGTAATTTGGGTACTTTTTGCTTAATGTTTAATAAATACTATAAAGTTTGACATTATCTCACGTACTGTTTTTCACCCATATAATATGGAAGTAGGCATATTCAAATGCAGGGATAGTGTTCAAAATTTGTCAATTTTAAGATTCCATGATGTTCTCTTAGAGTAGCCTATGTGGGTTGAGGACAGCGATGGAGCTGGTTAGGTTTTGGAACAGAGCTTATGTCTCAAAGAGAGTTGCAAAGATAATCATGGGTGATTAAAATGAACACACACATACACACACACACTCAAACACTCTACGTCCACTATTTAAACAACTCACTTGGTTCCACTGGGTCCTCTACTCTTCCCTGTGCACTCCTAACTCTATTTCTGTTTCTTCTAATCACTCGTTTCTTTTCTCATCCTATCGACTCTTGATGGTGATCCCAGCGGGGAAATGCCTTAAAACAGACGGTCTGGAGTCCAGCCCTCTGGGTTTGGTACAATTCAGTGTCACGTGACTTTCAAAAGTCTAGTTTAGACTCTGAATGTCCTATGAGCACTGAAAGTCTTTTTGTGTGAAACAATGAGTCTCACTTTCCTCTCTCTTTTTCTCTTTTTTTTCTTTATTATTCTGTATATACTGTATATATATTTTTTCTATATTATTCCTCTTACTCTTGTTTCTTCTTTGTCATTCTCTCAGCGTTTCGGGGGCCAGTTGAAGATTTTGCTGGTTTGAAATGTGTGTTTCTTGGGCTCTATCTCACTCTCTTTTCTACGCTTTTGCATTTGTTTTGGACAAAGCAGATCTCTGCAGCATCAGAGTCTATTCAAGGGTGTGAGAGAAAATTCATACTCTCTCAACATACAAAAATCATATCAGAGCCATATCCAGTGAGAGCCATTAATGTTTGACTGTTAAAGGGTAACTAAACCCCTAGTCAGAGCCTGACTCCACCCACTGGCAATATTTGAAAAATGCAGAAAAAGTGGGCAGACTCCAGTGGAGATAGAGGGGATGAAAAAGATGCTAAAACACTCTATCCTGATTGTGTTCAATACTCACAATTCCAACTCCTCACTCCCTACAGTGGTTTTGACGAAACAAGCTGTTTTTTTATACTGCCGCTCGTGCCAGGAGCGTGGTGAGCTGAAACCTGCGTACGTCACGAAGTGCGGAACATCCAATAGGAAAATTCAACTGCAGTAGCCACCGTTCAACATGAAGAGGGCAGCACTAAGACGTTTTTACACCATATATTGTAGAAATAAAACACTTTATATACAAATGTCAAAAAAGTTACTCAGATCAATGATTGGTATTAAAGAGCCCCTATCATAGCATTTGAAATGTTCCTATTTTTGTTTTAGGAGTTCCCAAAAACAGTTTAACATGCATGCAAGGATAAAACACACTTTATTTGTCTTCTAATATGCATTTATTTTTAACTGATTTGCTCACCGACTCCCAAATGATTCATACAATGACTCATTTTTCCAAACCACTCCTTTGCGTGACGCTAATCGGCGGTGATTGGTCAGATGACAGACCCAGTCAGTTATTGCAACGCATAAACATATTGATAAAGCACTGCAGTACTACAAGATGATCTACAACTCCAATAACAGCGACAAACATTTCACATATTTAAAAAATTGACATTGGAGACCTAGAAGCTGCGCTGAGCGTAACTCACACACACACACACACACACACTGATACACGCGCACACACATACAGTACTGCCTCGCGCCCCGACGCTACAAAACCGTTCAAAACCCATAAAAGCAACAATTATTAATAATACTTACAGGTTGTGATTCGAAGGAGGAAGCTGATCCATATACACTGGGTAAGTAAGTTACTGAGCCCTCCTTCAGGAACAACCGCTTGCGAATCCACATTTGAATTCATTTATGTTTTTGAACTGAAGTTATTAGTCAATAAAATGATGAACGCAATCGGGCTATACTGTTGTGGTATTGTTGCAAATATGAACTCTAACTACCGATTCTTCACATGCTCAGCCCTGGTAAATGAAAACAAAGTGGCTGAACTATCTTTGCATTGTAGAACGCAGCGTCTTCTCGACATGATGCTATGATAAAGTAATTAAGTAATTAAGTATTTAAGTATTTAAGTAAGTAATGTGTAGACTTCAAGTTTACACTTCCGTCTGCGTGCGCAGTAACTGGGCGCGGCCAGTATGTCTCTACGTCACTACGAACCAGCTAATGACTCGTTTCAAAAACAATTCATTTCATAGACTCAGAGTCGAGTCTTTTGAGAGACAATAACTTTATATATGGTGCACTTTCAGATATAAGTCTTTGCAGGATGTTTTCATTCCCTATAGCTATAGTCCACACTACATGAACAGTCATTTTCAAAAAATCCATGATAGGGGCTCTTTAATAAAGATCCATTCTTAAAGATCATTAACTAAAAAAAGTTGGTTTAGTGTTTAGTTACTCTTTAACCTGTCAAACTATTTCTCTGTTTAGGTGTACTTGTAATTAATAATTATAAATAATATAGATTAGGAAAGTTAGGGTAGAAATTAGAAAAGTTGCATTTGTACAGTAATAGACAAACATAATATAGTCTTCTAATAATCTAAATGATTGTTACCAAAATGCCATTTTTGGAATGTTTAATGTGATTATTTGGCAGTTGCTTTTTTTTCTAAGCCTGGTTGCTGGTGTGGTTTATCTAGTCTGGTGCTGCAGGGCTGTGTGCTCTCCCTCCTCCCTCTCTCTCTTTCTCACTCCCTCTTTTTCGTTATCGTTTTCTTTTGGCTTGCAGTGCAGAGCGGGATAAATGTGATGTCACACTTATGAGCTAATTGATCTCACTCATCCACTCATCTGTCATTTAGTGAATGTTCTTTATCTGCCCTCAGACTATGAAAGAATGTAAAATGTATTAATGCGTAAGAATTGTGTCTTAATGCTGAAATCAGTGGACACACTTGTGTCTGCACACTTTAAGTGTTCGTGCTAACTTCAAATTTTAAGTTTAGTCAACTCAAATATCTAAGTTGTCACTTAGTACAACTTCACACACTGTAAATAAACATAACTTGTATAATTATCTAAGTTGATCTAACTGTCAGATCAACTGAGATAATTTATGTGGTTCAGATAACATAATATTTTGAGTTTCTGATTATTAAATCAATCTCCTTCATATGTGATGAAATCTCCTTCATTGTAACTCAATTTTTCACTTTCAATGAACTTAAAGTTTTAAGGCAACCAGGTTACTTCAATTTTTAAGTTTTTTTACAGTGAATTTCAAATTTAAAAATTTCAAGGCAGCAATAACACTTACTTTTTTAAGTTGAAACAAACAGTTTTTACAGTATTTGGTAATATAATGCAAAGAAAATTAATTAATTTTTATGTGACTTGCATCTGAATAGGACACAGTTTGCAAAAATCACACCAAAAGTAAAATCAGAGATGCACAAAGAATTAACGTTCAATTTAATATACAACATATACTAAAATTCTCCAAGACATAGAAGTAAAGCTTGATACCTGACTGTATTTTGCAGTGGGAGGGACTTAGAGCAGATGTGTGTTTGAGTGACAGCTTGAGTTCTCTTTATACAATGGCTGCCTGTTTGCTAGCTGCTGCTTCATGGCTAAACATCAAACCCAATGCTTCTTAACGTCAGGTGTAACACAACTCACATTTAAAAATGCAGGCTAGGAGAATTTATGACCCTGATCTTATCGTTTTTTTTTTTTTTTTTTTGAGAAGATATATGCTGTGTCTGAAATCACCCACTACTCACTATATAGTGGACTAAATAGTGAGTTTGCCTTTTTGTAGGGCTGTCCGAATGTATAGTGATGACAATTATACCCTATATAGTCCACTCAATGTATCCCAGAATGCATTTTGAAAAGTATTGTAGAACCGATGGTCACTAACCCAAGCCCTACATACCATCATGCATTGCGCTGATTGTAAAAAATACCTTATAATCATGTGTGGAGTAGTGCATTATAAAAGAAACGACCAGAAATGACTTTTATTTTTTAAAATTTGGAGAAATAAGCTCAATATACAGCCCATTCTCACCCCCAAGGCGTCACTTAACTGACGCCTTGGGAAGCATTTGGACATGCTTCAATATCTGACGCTTTAGGCGCCCTTTAGCGTCAGTTAGATGACGCCCTAGGATCGCGTGTACCCTACCCCCACCCCACACCTAAACCTAACCGCGTCCTCTAACGCTTTCCTTTAGCATCAGTTAGATGACGCCGTAGGATAGCGTCATGTAAGTGACGCTAAAGGGCGCCTAAAACGTCAAATATTGAAGCATGGTCAAAGGTGACGCCTTGGGGTGAGAATGCGTTGCAATATAATGTAATGTATTTATTACTCGGCACCAGCTCGGCACCAACTGACAGATGATGTAATCAATGGCGCAGAGAGACGATCGAGTAGTGTCTGAAAGTGGTGTTTCTATTATGCTGGTGAGCTCACTATATAGTGCTCTACTCCCTACCCCCTACATAGGGGGTAGGGAGTAGTGGTTTGAGTGGAGATTTCGGACACAGCACTAGACTATTCCAAACATGTCGCTAAAATTGTCGCCCCTGCAATTGTTACATCGAGATTCTATTTCTGCATTTCTGCCTAATCTAATCTATAATAGTGTGTCAATATAGTGCTATATGGATTCTATTCAGACAAAGAGTAAACAGAAATCATCTTCCATTTGTACTATGGATAAATTGTTCACGAGTAATTATTTGTGCTTTCAGACCTGGGACTGGCCAGTCATGAAAAAATATTTTTAGTGCATGATTGATCACATTTGCTCTGTGTGTGATGCAGCCATTATTCAAACCCGAGATAGATGTAGAGAGGGGGTAAAGCTTTTTGTTAATCTCTTGTCATGAAGGGAGGTTGGACCGGACGTATTGGCACACAGCACTGCTTTGAGCAGAAAGTATTAGCTGAAGTGCCTTTCTTCAATATGCATTATGCAATCTCCTTGTATGAGCTGCTATATTCTTAGAAGGCCACATATTCATCTTAGTTTGGTGTTAAGTCACCCGTCACCTGGGGCCATGTCTTCTCACGTTTTACCCAAGATACTTGCCTCGTAGCTCTCTTAGGTGTGTAGAAGCACAGAGTACTGTAAGCACTCTGTTGCCATAGCAGCATCGTTAGAGCTGAGAGATGTTATTGTGCCGAAGGTTACAGAGACGTTACAAAGACAAACTATATGCTCGATAGAGTATATGTTTATTTAGCCACTTATATCCAGTGTTGCATTTCAAATTATATTAGCATAACTGTTCAGCTAGAGATATATGATATTTAGTGGTTGGATAGGTGGATATCACATGAAATGCTGACAGTGTCTCTTAAGTAAGAGCATCGTGGGAGGATATTTCCTGTGTGCAGCTCACAAGATTTGTGAATGCTGTTTTGTAACAGATGTCTATGTAAATTTTACCGTCAAATGGATTTTACGAGAGTATATTTGAACTGGTAATGTAGGTTTTACTGTGGTCAGCGATGACGATCATTCTAGTTTGTTGATGACGGTAATGACAGTCACTGGCTTTTAGCAGAAATATGAGCTCATTGCTAATGTCCAGATGTACTTCAGTCAATATTTGCTTTCATAAAGTGTATGTTAATTAGTATGAGAGTCGGACCATTGCATTCATCAATCATGATTTACTTTAGTTGTTTTCGGGGGCGGGGCAATTATTCTAGACACCATTTAATTGGACTAAAATCAGTGTAGTCATCAAGATTTTAAGTATGTTTTATTGGAAGAAAACTATGTTTGCTTTTGTAGATGTCACAATCTATTTAAAAGCCACAAAACTTAATATATATAAATATATAAATATAATTCAATATGACAGCAAATAAAGGCTATATACAGTGTATTTATATATATATATATATATATATATATATATATATATATATATATATATATGAAGAGTTCAGATGCAAAAGCCTCTAAGTGCCATTTGAAATTTTCTTCTAAAATGATCCTTTTTATCAAGCTTGTATATTTAAGTTCAGTAATTTGACTTAAATGGCAATGAAGATGACCTATTAATTGTCATTTAAGTGAAATTACTGAACTTAAATATACATGCTTGATAAAAATGGTCATTTTAGAAGAAAATTTCAAATGGCATTTAGAGGCTTTTGCATCTGAACTCTTCATATATATATATATTTATATATATACATATATATAGAAATTTAATATTAATTTAATAGAAACAAATATAATTTAATATATACAGTATATATATATATATATATATATAAACATTAGGACGTTTGTCTCATGACGTGCGAGACCCAATAAGTTTTGATGTAACTTAATGTTTGAGGTTCATGTCTTCATTTGATGTAGTTTAAATCCAAGGCTTGATGTAGAAAGACAATTTGAGTAAATTATGACAGAATTTTAATTTTTAGACCAAAAACGAATTGGCATTTAGTTGCTTGAATGGACTAACACCCTTATTTTGCTCAATGTACACTAACATAAGAAACTGGTGTCAAATAACAGCCCAGATCAATGCATGCATGCCTGTTAAATATTTCAGACATGGCTCTCAGGTTGCTGTCATTGGATGGTGGACGTGTAATGCTGTAGCTGAAGCCCGCAGTGTTACATTGCGCTTGATATGGCTGTCTCTTTGCTGCCGGGTGCCTGCGCTATATCTCCTATTTTATTTCCGCTTGTCTCCTTTAGTGGGCTGTAACTGTCTGTTCTTTCTTGATTGTTTTTCCTCACATGTGAAATTTCTTGCTCTTTGAATTCAAATTTATTTCAAGCTACAAGTCTTTCTCTGTCTTCTTTTCTCTACCTTTCCTTCCTTCTGCTCATCCTTTTCTGCTTCTCTCTGAACTCTGTGTCTGTCGCCCCCTGACCCCCTCCCCCCTCCACAACCCCCCGCACCTCTCTCCCCCTTCCCCGACAGACATATCCGATTACAAGAACAATAACAATAGTGGCCAAGATGTCAATCAAAGAGGTGATCTCTCCACAGTGACCAATGCTATGACTGGGATGAGCCCCTCTCCATCTCTCTCCGCCCTGTCCAGCCGGGCTGGTTCCATCAGCAGCTTGCACGATCGCATCATGTTCAGCCCAGGGAGCGAGGAAGCCATTGAGAGACTCAAGGTGACTGCCATAAAGTATAAAAGCCTGACAATACTGAATTAAATCCTCCAAATATACTGTAAATATGACAAATATCTGCCCCCAGATATTAAGGGATCAACTCCAGATTAAAGGAACCATTTCATAATTGCTTTTACCTATACAAACTGTGGTGTTGTTATTAACCGAAAACTATTAATTATTTTTTTTTTTTTTGTAAATTTAAATGAATCTTAAATTAAAGAAAATATAAATATTATATTTAAATTTAATAACTTACTCTACTATAATACTATACAACTGACTGTAAAATACAACTAACACTGTACTATAATTGACAAAAAAGCTAAAAAATAAATTAAAATGACAAATGCTTCAATTACTAAAACGAACTAAAATCAAAATGAAAATATAAAAAAGCTACACTTTTTATAACTGTACCTTTTAAAGAGGAACTATGTTGACCCATCATAACACAGTGGTCTAGCCGTCCAATCAGAGCACATTGTGCTTTTCAGAAGGAGGGCTTTCATAGAAACAGGAACTAAACAGGGCATTGCATGGGCATTACTGACAAGGGAAGAAAATGTAAAATTTGTGAAAAATAATGTTGTTGTTTTTTTTCACATTCAAGCATGAAAACCTATTCTAATTGACCCCAAAATATAATAATATAATATAATAAAACTAAGGTAGTCTTTTTGTACTAGGCAGGTTTTAAAGGTATACGGTACGATACTTTTAATACAACATTTTTTACACCTCATTAATTAAAGCCAAAAGCTTTGCTGTCTAAAGACGTATGTCTCACATTAATAAAAACTACTATTATTTATTTTAACTTGCATTTGTTTGCAATGCCAATTAGGAAACGGAGAAAATCATTGCTGAGCTCAATGAAACGTGGGAAGAGAAGCTTCGCCGTACAGAAGCCATCAGAATGGACAGGTTTGTTATATGAAGCCTTATGTGATGATATGTAATTTTACGTTAGTGTATACGTTATGCTATATTCATAAACCTAAACCATATTTTTTTAAGAACATCTAAATTGGTTTTCACAGAGAAGCACTGCTGGCCGAGATGGGTGTGGCCATGCGTGAGGATGGAGGAACTGTTGGAGTCTTTTCACCAAAGAAGGTAAAGTCATTATTAAGGCTGTAGGGAGAAACTGTATGAAGGTGGAGGTGGACCACGTGATAAGGCTAATATGTTGTGTTCAAATAACTAAATAAGCCTGTGAATGTCTTTACGTTCCCTTTCTGGAAGCCCTCGCAGAGAAAACCTCAGCCCGTGTTTATAGACACTGTTGGGCTGTTCTCTCCCAATGAGGTTGGTTGCCATGGATACTGTGTGGTTGCATCTCGATTCTCTCAGAATCTACCTCTGTGTGTTCTTTCCCCACCAGAGCTCTCCTAAATACGCATCTGTGATCTTTATTTAAGGATCTGTTGCTGAAATAAATGCCGATGTACTGCAATTCCTTCAAGTCTTTATTGTAAACTTTAAAGCAAACTGCTGGGTGAATGTACAGATCTCAAGCATCATGCCCTATGATGCTTTTAAAGGCTTTCCTTTCTGGATTCTTACACTTTTGTGATATCTAAATCGAATCACATGCATTTTGATGGATATCAAAATTAAAATCTTATTTTCCTCTTTCCAATGTCGTATAAATACATTTTGAAAGTGTTCGCAAGGCAGAATTGCGATTGGTCTTCTTTCTAATGCTTTGATACAAATTGTGTTTGCACTTTTCATATATTTAAAGTAACCATGAAATAAAAATGGACAATTTTTATATTTTATGGAATATTGCAAAGTTTATTATAAATGATTTATCTGTGCGCATCATTAGATTTGGGCGGGACATTTATTGACTCCCCTCCAGCAACCTGTCACTCACATGAGATTGTAACAATTAGCAAATGATCCAACAATCCAATCAGATCCAATCAAATCTCGCCCTACATTTTGTCTCATTCGAGAAGCCATTTAAGCCATATGTCCCAATAGGGAGGTTCATGCCACATTTACACTGTAAATGATTTTAATTCTTGTACACATCTGACAGAAAACAATACTCTGATGTGGCATTTAGCTTTAACACAGGACCAAAGCCTAGAACTTAAACTAGCCTGAAACGTTAAACGGATACTCCACTTAATTTGGAAATAGGCTTATTTTACAACTCCTCAAGAGTTAAACAGTTGAGTTTTACTATTTTTTGAATCCATTCAGCCGATTTTCTGATATTTAGAAGAATATCAGTAACCAGGTAGTTTCTGGTCTCATTGACTTCCATAGTAGGAAAAAAAATATATACTATGGAAGTCAATGAGACCAGAAACTGTCTGGTTACTGATTTTCTTCTAAATATCAGAAAATCGGCTGAATACATTCGAAAACGGTAAAACTCAACTGTTTAACTCTGGAGGAGTGGTAAAATGAGCCTATTTTTTTTTTTAAAAAAGTGGAGTATCCCTTTAAGACTAGTCGTTTGCTGCCTTGCAAGCACTGGTATTTCTTTCTGGGAAATGCAAAAATAGTTGAGTCTGTAAAGTTGATTTTAAGTATGTTTGGCCCACTCATTACAGACACCCCACCTGGTGAACCTGAATGAAGATCCTCTGATGTCTGAGTGTCTCCTATATTACATCAAAGATGGAATTACTCGGTTAGTTACAATCCAAGCTTCTCCTTTTCTCTATCGTGCATGTGAATCACACATAGTATAATTGGCACTATGGTATCTTGATGTGTTGCTTTGCTCAGGGTGGGGAGAGAAGATGCCAGCAGTAGACAGGACATTGTTTTGAGTGGTCACTTCATCAAAGAGGAACACTGCACTTTCACCAGCACCACTGGGCCAATGGGAGAAGGTTTGTTAACGATGCAGCTACTGTAAAAACACACATACCTGTTCATGTACAGCAGTGGTTCTCAAAGTGGGGTCCGCGGACCCCTGGTGGTCCGTGAGCTAAAGCCAGGGGGTCCGCGAAATAATTTATAACAACCTAACGTTTTTTTCCGTGCTATAAGTCATGTTTTCTTTATCATCTGAAAACATGCTATTTATTCCTAAGTAACTTATATAATGCATTTAACATCAAAGTTTTCTATAGATAGATAATCTATGTCTGTGCGTCAAGTAGACTATTCGCTGCTGTTGATTTTGCAGGACGTGCGCCAGAAAGGAGACAGATCGACGGCATGAACCCGCATCCGGTTGTTTTCTGTATTTTTAAAAGGCATGACATTTTGTAGTCATTTATAATGTAGCCTATACACACAAAAAAAATGAACACTTTACCGTTTCGGATGATGCACTCTTGTCTTATCTATGACCATAAATAAGAGTAGGCTATTCCTGTTTCCACTGCTGAGGAAAAATTCCCACGTAATCGCGCGCCGGCGTCTCGCGTGCGCGCACAATAGTTAGTTCTAGCACTGCTAGATTTGACATTAGAAGTCTGATCATTATCAAAATAAAAGTGCATAGGGGTTGCATGCACATCGCGATGATAACTGACCTTCTCGTCTGAGCTGCTTCAGCAGACTAACAACGACAGCTCAATGTCAAAATGTTTGAGTCGGAGTGAACTCAAAGTTCTCTGCACGACGCGAATCCCCGCACGTCGTTTCTGTCAACGGTCATAAAGTGCGAGATAAAATGTAGGCCTAAATTAACATAAACTAAACAGCTGTTTTAGATAAAAGTTTTAAAAAACGTCTGAAACAATCAGTTTGCAAAGTATTAACCGAGCTCAACTTTAACAAAGGAAAAAGCAGGTCAAGAGAAACATACTGTGCCCATGAGATTAACATTATGGATTCATATATTTAACATATACTGTATGTTTTTTTTTTTTTTAGCTAATTACAGTAGCTCAAATTAACAATGCACACACCTATTAAACATAATGCCATTATCATTGTATTTATAGGCTTATTGGCTTTATGTGTGTGCAGAATAGGCCTAATCATTGAAACATTTCTCTTGTAAGGCCATTCCTGTTTGGAATATGTGATTGTGTTTCGTGACATCTTGACAAAAAAAAAATGTATGCCACTGCCTGACATGCTTCTAAATCTATAGTTATCCAATTGTGGGGCCTTAAAACACCTTAAAATGCACATGTGTAGATCAAGAACATCAAAAATTCCTTAGTGAGGGATCCTAAGTAGATTCCTAGCAAGATCACTTTTGGGACCTCAGTAGGCTATTTAGAAATTCCTGCCCTGGGTGGAGACCATTAATTTTGGGCAAAAATATTTCATTAGCCGCTCACACATTAACTTTGTGCTCAATAACGGTTATAAATATGAGGGGGGTCCTTGGAAATTTTTTTCCCCTGAAAGGGGTCCCTGGCTCTAAAATGTTTGAGAACCCCTGATGTACAGTATATGGTAAAGTCCTTATGGTTGTTCTTCCTGTTGTTTACAGCTGTCATTCTCGAGCCGTGTGAGGGAGCAGAAACGTATGTAAATGGGAAGAGAGTAACAGAACCCACTGTTCTCAGATCAGGTTTGTTTTTACTTTTTTTACCCTCACCTGCTAAAATACTGTTGTAAGCAAAATGGTTTGGTTCCTATTATTTATTTGTTTGTGCTGGTGTGTGTTTGTGTACATATTTATTAAAGGTGGGACAAAATGTTGATAGGGCGATATATCGTTGTCTTTCTCCGTGCGATACGAGAATCGTTACTCTGGAGCCAAATATTGATATTTTAATTTATAAAATAAGGCGCTCTAAATAGACAGCCTGTTCTCATCCCAATACGTCATCTAACTGACGCTTTTGACCATATGTCAACATCCGACGTTTTAGGGCAGCCTTTAACGTCAGTTAGATGACACTACCTAATCCTAACCCTACCCCAGACCTAAACCTACCCGCGTCATCTAACTGACGCTAAAGGTAAAGCATCAGTTAGATGACGCCCTAGGATAGCGTCATCTAACTGACGTTAGAGGGTGTCCTAAAACGTCGGATGTTGACGTATGGTCAAAAACATCAGTTAGATGACGTCTTGTGATGAGAATGTGTTGAAATAGATTTCCCGGCTTCCAGCGTCGCTACTTCATGACTCCTGGAGGTGGCACTCAACACATGAATTAGGGAAACATGAACAAGGGAAACATGAACATAAGTTAAAAAGCCTAACAAAAAGAGCTTTTAACTGGATGGTGGACAGCAGTGTGTGTAAAATAATACCATAATAATGCCCCAGAAAAGTCTGGACCCACTGTGGCTTTTATACTATTGGTGGGACAAACAAAATCGACAAAGAATACACAATATACAAGAACTGCCTGGTAAAAGTAAACTGCATTGGTAATACCAAGAACATGCAAACTAGCCACTTAAAGGGAAAGTTTACTTTGAAATTAAATTTTGGTATGTTTTAGCTTACCTCAAGGGCATCCAAGATGTAGGTGTCTTTGTTTCCACAGTATTTTCAATTTTGATATTTTTAGGTCGAACCGTTCGTGTCTATCAGTCAAATAATGGAGGTCTATCACCACCTCAAAGAGAAGTTCAAATGGGCTCTATGCACGGCGGTATTTCCGGTGAAGCATTAGGGATGCTCGATAACTTCCGCCGATCATAGAGTCCAATGCAATACCGAGAATTTATATTGAATTTTATACTCCATGGTTATACTAAAGAAACGTTAGTCACAAAAACAGATAAAACAGACACCCCTCGTTGTGTTTATGCTTCTTTTTAAAATTATATTAAATAAACATAACTATATATAAAATTACATCTAAACGTATGTACGTTTCATTTCAAAGACTGGAGGACAGTAAATTTTGAAGACTCTGCCATAATCCCGTTTTCCTCGGTTTTCCTCCGCTTTAATCTACACAATCGGAAATGGACGAGCATCCTTGCGTCAAATGTGGAATTTATGCGTGCATATAGCCCATTAAACATGATTTAATGACTCGAGCGGTTTTTAAAGAAACGAGCGGTTTGTGTGAGAAAACGCCACGTCCAAGTGATCTGAGGGCGCGGGTGCTTTGTGGCTGTGATAACAATAGGGAAAAAACGATATAAATACTGTTCGTTTTCTCACACAAACCACTCGTAATTTCTTCATTTACTGACTCTTTTGTAGGAAACCGAATCATTTTGGGCAAGAGCCATGTGTTCCGCTTCAACCATCCAGAGCAGGCTCGTCAGGAACGTGAGCGCACCCCCTGCTCTGAGACCCCAATGGAGCCTGTAGACTGGGCTTTTGCTCAGAGAGAACTCCTGGACAAACAGGGCATTGATATGAAACAGGAAATGGATCAGAGGTAAAAGTAACATGGAGGAAATTCAAGAGCAAGTGTGAACAAATGTGACATTTGTGTTTTTAGACTTGATGTCACTGATATATATATATATATATATATATATATATATAATGACATGTCTTTCTATATAGATCAGTGCTTGATATCCTTTTTTATATTGATTGTATAGACTGCAGGAACTTGAGGATCAGTATCGCAAGGAGAGAGAAGAAGCCAACAATCTATTGGAGCAACAGAGATTAGTACGTGACATAAAGAGCTTATACCACTTGTTACCTTCCAAACTTACTGTAGTATGACCCTTTTTAGTGTTGATATTTCACTGTATGTCTTTTACAGGACTATGAGAGCAGGCTAGAAGCACTGCAGAAGCAGGTAAATCGTTGTTACCCTGATGTAGCAGAGGACGATGAAGAACCTGAGGAGGAAGGTGACTAGATTGTGATGGAAAAAAAGTTTTATTTTGTTATTTAAACAGCTTGAGCTAATCGTAATGACCCAAATTTAAAACACCTGGGCATCTTGTATTCAATCTCTTTTACCCATAGTGCAATGGACTGAGAGGGAGACAGAACTGGCGTTGTGGGCTTTCCGTAAATGGAGATGTTATCAGTTCACATCTCTAAGAGACATGCTTTGGGGCAATGCCATCTTCCTCAAGGAGGCCAATGCCATTAGCGTGGAGCTAAAGAAGAAGGTGAAAGCTTTGGAAATATAGTATTAGAAAGAACTGCATTCACTCTGCTAAACCTATAAGATATGACAACATCATTACTGATTGAGCCTTGTGTCGCTTACAGGTTCAGTTTCAGTTTGTTTTATTGACGGACACACTTTACTCTCCACTTCCGCCTGACCTGTTACCACCTGAGGCTGCTAAAGACAGGGAGAAGAGTCCGTTCCCTCGCACCATTGTGGCCGTAGAAGTCCAAGATCAGAAAAATGGAGCCACACATTACTGGACCCTGGAGAAGCTTAGGTAATTTTTGCATATTGCTTTTTCATATAATACAACTGAAATGCCCCTTCAAAGCAGACTTTTCACACTCACTTTTTTTTTTTTTTAATTGTGTACTGTCAGAATCCAACAGTGGTCATTTCCACAACATCCCAATGTCTATTTTATATATATATATATATATATATATATATATATATATATATATATATAAACAGTATATATATATATATATATATATATATATACTGTTTATATATATATATATTATATATGTATTTTTTAAACCTTTTAAACATTTTTGGAATAAAAAGGCAGACTTGTTTGTTTTAATGCAGCTAATTTTATATCTAGCATTTTGTGTGTCTGTGTGTGTCTGTGTGTGTGTGTACACTATGGAAAAAAGAATTGGGACTTTCAATCAGAACAGCCGTTTCAATCAGACCCATTTGCCACATGTGTACAAAATCGAGCACCTAACCATGCAGTCTGCATTTACAAACATTTGAAAAAAAGAAAAAAAAAGCGTTCTGTAGAGCTCAGCGAATTTAGGCGTGGTACTGTGATAGGAGACCACCTTTACAATAGGTCCGTTTGTGAAATTTCATCCCTGCTAGATATTCCTTAGTCAACTGTAAGTGGCATTATTGGAAAGCAGAAACATGAAACATTTAGGAACAGCAGCAACTCAGCCATGAAGAAGGAAGACCATGTAAAGTCACAGAGTGGATAAGCACGAGAGTGCATAAGAGTCGCCAACAATCTGTGGATTCCAAAGCTGAAGAGAACTTCCACTGGCATTAAAGGGATCGTTCACCCAAAAATGATAATTCTGTCAGTATTTACTCACGCTCATGTTGTTTCAACCCCGTAAGACCTTCGTTCATCATCGGAACACGAATTAAGATATTTTAGATGAAATCTGAGAGCTGGATCACTCCTGCATACTTGTCCATAGGCTTCTTGAGGAATTGAAACGTGCCGGCCTCGAAAAGTTATTAAAGACATCGTTAAAATAGTCCAATAGCTCAATCTAAACTTTATCAAGCGACGAGAATATTTTTGTGCGAAAAAACAAACATAAATAACGACTTTATTTCAACTATTCACTTCCTTCTCCATGGGCCTCTAGTCAGTTAACGTAGCGTGATAGCGTAGAGCTACGTCACACGTAGGCTCACTATTGGCTGACGCTGGTCATGTGTGTGATGCGTGTGACGTACAATAACAGAATTTTAATTTTTGGGTGAACTAACCCTTTAATATTAGCACAAAAACTGTGCGGCGGGAGCTTCATGGAATGGGTTTCTTCACATGTCTCATATCAGTGTGCTCTTTACTTACAATTTTGATTTATTCGTAACCACTATATTTAAATGCAATTTTATTAGGGATACTATTATTTGTCATGGTGTAAATGATGCAACAGCCCAGGGACCGTAATTATACATTTTTGTGAAATATATTCAACAATAATTACTGAAATGGTTTGGTTTGTTTTGTTTATATTTTAATAGTATTTTATTCATGGAGTCTCATATTTTAGGATTAAAAGGATAAGGGTAAAACAATACAATGTGTATATATACATAAAAAGTGTTTGAAAAGTAAAATAAATGAAAGCATGTTGTTTCAGGACAACAAAAACAAAATCTGTTACTTGCAATAAAAGGCAAGTGCTGAAACATAAAGCTGAGACACATTGGGTTCACAGTGTATCCAGAATTTAGATTTTAAATAATGTATAATGCCGCCCCCTGCAGGCAGAGGTTGGATCTAATGAGGGAGATGTATGATCGTGCTGCTGAGGTACCCAGCAATGCTCTTGAAGACTGTGACAGTGTGCTGACTGGAGGTGACCCCTTCTACGACCGGTTTCCCTGGTTCCGTCTGGTTGGAAGGTGAGTTTTAGGGTTACTTCAGAGCATGGCTAGACAGACCTGGCCAGTGGTGTTCAGAATGCCACATCAGATAAAGGCCACATTATCAACATTAAAACTCATCAAACTACACTAGTGTTTGAATGGCCCATTGAAAGTGAATTCATTTCTGTTAAGGAGAACAGAATCAGCAATTCTCAATAAGTTTTTGTTCTTGTAATAGTAGAGTAGCCTACTATATTGCAGGGCAAAACAACTGCTGGAAAGAGAAAATGTAATAAAAACGGAGTTTAAAAGCTGATATCTACAGGATATATGTTATATTGCTTATTCCTCTGAGGAATTATTGCCCACACACTTTTCAAGAGTGCAAGATTTTTGATGCTGCTTTATTCAGAAGAGCATGAAATCGATTTTCCTTGCACTTCTAAATTAGGTCACTAGCTTCCTTTTGCCCAGTCTACTTCTGTATGACTTACTCTTAATCTTGCCTTTACTGTATCTTAAAAGATCACACTGAAACAGCCCATTCTCACTCCCAAGGCGTCACCTAACTGACGCCTTGGGAAGCATTTGGACATGCTTCAATATCTGACGCTTTAGGCGCCCTTTAGCGTCAGTTAGATGACGCCCTAGGATCGCGTGTACCCTACCCCCACCCCACACCTAAACCTAACCGCGTCCTCTAACTGACGCTTTCCTTTAGCGTCAGTTAGATGACGCCGTAGGATCGCGTCATGTAAGTGACGCTAAAGGGCGCCTAAAACGTCAAATATTGAAGCATGGTCAAAGGTGACGCCTTGGGGTGAGAATGCGTTGACTGAAATCAAAATTACGTCAATATTTACTCACTCTCATTTTAAACTAAACCCACCATACCTTCTTTCTTCTGTGGAACATTTTTAAAAATTTACTGGTAGCTATAATAAGTAACAACAACTGTATTGGTTGAGGTTTTTGCTACTGTACTGTATGAATTCAGAAGACATGGAATAGTGAATGGACTGCTTTTACTTTCACTTTCATGGTGCTTTTTGTCATTGTAGGGCTTGACAGTCACCCATCTTGTTTCATCTTCATTGTATTGAACATGAAATTTTTCCAAAAAATTGGCTGATATTTATAAAAAGGTATTTTTCAAAAGTACAACTTTTGGTGTTTCAAAAAAAAAGAGAACAGGTTTAGAACTACATGATGATGTGTTATGACAGAATTACATTTGTTTTTTTTTTTTTTTTTGAGTGAACTATGTCTATAAAATGTACCTTACCATTCAAATATTTGGGGTCTATATAATTTTTTTTTTTTTTTTAAATAAGTCTCATGCTTACCAAGGCAATAATTAAAAACAGTAAATATCCTCACAAGATGTTTTCTATTCTAAAATGTAACTTATTTCTGTGATTTCAAAGCTGATTTTTTCAGCATCATTACTCCAGTCTTCAGTGTCACATGATACTTCAGAAATCATTCTAAAAACAGTTGTGCTGCTTAATATTTTTGTAGAAATGTATACATTTTTTCAGGATTCTTTAATACATATAAAGTTCATAAGAACTGTATTTGAAATATAAATCTTTTGTAACATTATCTCTATCCTTACGTGTCTTTACTATCACTTCTGATCAATTTGCTGACCCCAAACGTTTGAAAAGTATTGTAATATTGGACATTGTTAACAGAGTCCTGTTACAGAGGCTGCTGTTCACATGATTTTTGTTCACATGAAGTTTTTTTTTAATATCTTTTACTGTATGTCCATTACCCTGCAACTAAGTAAAGTTGGCGCATTTACTTACCTACTTGCGAGCAGAAACAATTAAATAGACAGATGGCCCCTCACACTAACTGGGCTCCCGTGTCTTTGGCTACACCAGAAACCCCCTTTTCTCCACATGCCTTAGTGAGCAAGCGAGCGACTCTAACTCCTCCCCCACCCCCTCTGAGCCCACATCAACCTCTGAACTCACTGAGCTGGTCCAGTCATGGTCGGACAAGAAGGTGGGGACAGATTTGGATGACTTGGACGATGATTTCTACTTGGATGACCCATACTGGGATTTAGAGGAGGAGGAGGAGGGGGAGGATGATGATGATGATGATGATGATGAGGGAGAGCTCTGCAGAAGCTCCAGCAAGGCTGAGGACCCGTTTTATGATCGCTCACCATTGTTCAGTGTATTGGGAAGGTTGGTGAGGTTTCAGGAGAATGCTGGGAAAGGAAACTAGCTCTTTCACACTGAGACTGGGTTTTACAACACTGACTTTTTAAACATTATATGTGCACAACACATGCACACACACACTCACATATTTAGGCCTATATACACAAATATGAGAGATTTTTGTTTACATATGACTACACTCACATTTATAGACAAACAAATACCTGCAAAAAAGGCCAGACATATGCAAATAGGATAATAGTGGATAGACACAGTGAGATTATTTTCAGTTTCTGTTGGTGTCATACACTGTAGTTTAATGTATAATGGCTGGGAGTCTGTGTGCACACTCTTCTTAGTGGGCTTGGAAATGAGAAATATAAATGTTGGCACAAATAAGACTGTTGTTGACATACAGTGCAAGTATTTAGCTGGAATAAATTGACATGGGAGAATGGTCGAGTTTTATCTTCTATTTTCTATTGAGATCTCTGTCTGTTGATTGCTGATTTTGGTGTTTGGGTCAATGACGTGATAAATGTTCGGGTGGACAAATGGTCTGATATATATATATATATTTGAAAAGAAAATCTAATAATAAAAACATGCAAAGTTTAGTACAATATATTTTATTTTTTTAAACAGGGATTCTGTTCCAACAAATTAAAGTCATGTGGTGCGATACAGAAATAAAATGATATAATAAAAAGGCTCCTGCAGACCCTCATGACAAAAGTCAAACAGTCTCCTAAAATATAAGATAATTGGACTTATTTATAATGGTAAATTTAGTTAAGGTTATAAAATGTCATGTGATGCATCTCCCCAACAACATTTATTAGTTCATAATTCATTTATAATATACTGTTTGTCCAAAATTAATTTTTACCTCAAAAATATATCATGAATTTGATGGTTACACCACATGACATTTTTAAAAAAACGTATGAAAACAGTAATTACATAACTGAGAACATGGTTTACACCAGATTTTATTTATTTAAAAAAAATGTTTAAAGATTTTTCCCTGTCCTTATCTTGGCCACTCTTATTTGTCAGTGGTTATGTTTCCATCCAAACATAAAAATTTGACTTATGCACAAAATTGGAATATCCCATAAAACTTTAGCAAATAAAGCCTCTCTTTGTTCAAGAGAACAAAATTGTTACTTTCTGGGGAAATTGGCACAACAATTGCTGCAAAACTTTTAGTCCAGGTTTCCAGTCACATCCTCTGTTGAGAAAAAAAAAAATCAATTTAATTTATTTGGTAAATTCGTTTCCATAGTATAGTTAATGCTTTGCCTTATCGGACAAAAAGTGCATACATTTTTTATGTGCACTTTTAGAATGTATGCGCATCTTGGCTTTTCCATCCAGCATTTGCGATATCCCAAAACTCACATAAAAATAGGTGGATGGAAACATAGCTAATGACACTTGAGGAGACATTTTACAAGGGTCAATTGATCAAGAGAAAAACCAGGAGACTTACAGTAAGCAAGTCTCCGCTTGATATCCATCTCACTACTATAAGAACATTAAAGAGATCTCTTCCTATTTGTCTTCCCCTGTGGGAAGGATTCCTGGACTTTAGTCAGCATGTCTGGACTTTACCCTGTCTCCTCCCATTATCATACATTTGACTTTCATCTGATCGCTGCAGACACACACCTTGAGCTTCTGGGTTTCAATTTGGACCAAACCATTGTGATAATTGAATTCCGAATTGGCCGGCTGTCAGCAGCTCCATCCAGCACAGCTTTGGCCCTCGTGTCCCGTCAAGGTCTGTGTCCCAGCTTTACATGCACCGCATCACTTCTTCAAAGGGCTCCGTCAGCTTTGAAGTGCTATCTCCAAACAGTCATATTAGCTGTTTGTTTTGTGTACCGCAGAAACAAACAAGACCAGATTTTTGTAACATGGCATGAATGTCTGATGAATGCGAAAAAGCTATTAATGTAATGACTTACTAATTGGTTCCCGTAATACAGCAGTTTGGTTATGCGGAGGGTTCACATATCTCAAGATGAAAGAGCTGGTTTCTAGCACAGCTGTCTCTCTTCTGGGCATGTGAGATCATATGCCGTATTTCGACCTTTTTTTGTGAGATTTTTACATGGAAACCTTTGATGAAACGGCTCACTCTTTTAAGTTGCGCTTGTGCAATGCACTGCACATCTGTTACAGTGTGGCCGCTTTTGTTTTTTGGTGTCTTTATTTTTATTTTGGTGTTTGCTAATGGTATTGTCTGTTCACGCTCGCAGTGTCCATTTTATGTCACCGCTCCCACCTTTTTTTTGTCATAAGCATGCTTTTTTTGTACCTCACCAAAACCCCCTTTTTTTGTTCAGCACTACCGTTGGAAGATGGGCGATGTAGTCCTTGATACCAGATGGATGGAAAACTGTTAATTGAGACAATCAATTACTGTATATGAAATGTCAATCTCAAGGTTTTGGAACATATAAACAGTCGTATTTCTTGTTCTGATCATGGATGTATTGCTTATCCAAATACCCCACTGAGTCACTCCATGTAACATTTACTCATGCACAGACTATATAAATGGACGAACACACTGTGTTTAAGTAAAAATCTTTTACATTTTTAATTACAACTATTATAATAATGATAATAATATCAGTTTAATAGCAATTAACATTAATTTGTTCCAAAACGTCTTGTGTGATTCTCATATGTACTTATTTGATTAGTGGACCTACAGTAGAAATAGTGTGGAATCTTAAGTATTTATTTTTCATTTCTATTTCTCTTATTACTACCATTCAAATGTTTGGGGTTGGTAAGATATTTGAATGTTTTTGAAAGATTTCTCTTATGCTCACCAAGGCTGCATTTATTTGATCAGAATTTTCAGCAGCATTACTCAAGTCTTCATGATCCTTCAGAAATTATTAAAAAATGTTGATTTTCTGCTCAAGAAATATTTGTCAATGTTGAAAACCGTTCTGCTGCTTAATACTTTTGTGGATATTTTTTCCCCCCAGGATTCTTTGATAAATAGAAAGTTTAAAGAAACAGCCTTTCCTGCTGAATAAAAGTATTATTATTAATAAAAGTATTATTATTATTTAAATCTCTCTTACTCCAAACTTTTTGAACGGTATAGTTTTAAAATGAAAAAAATAAAAAATAAAAATAAAATAAAATAAAAATCAGGGTTTATCTTCACTTCAGTCCCATGGTCCTTAAACTCGCCCAACATTTATTTTACACCTATATATAAACAGATGAAAATACTCTACACCTCCCTGTTTTATATCATGTATCCTGTAAGGAATAATCCTGTCTAGGGCCACAGCAGTGCCTGCTTTTGTGTAAATGTTGATCAATGTTTTGTCTGTCCTGTTTGCTGTACAGTTGATACCTTGGACATTTTCTTATTTTCTTCTTCCCTCTCTTCTTTAGGGCTTTTGTGTATTTGAGTAATCTGCTCTATCCTGTGCCCCTGGTACATCGGGTTGCCATTGTCAATGAGAAGGGAGAGGTCAAAGGTTTCCTCAGAGTAGCTGTACAAGCAATATCAGGTAAGATTAGGACTGTAAGTGTCTTGCAGAACCCACTGGTGAGTAGAGGGGCACATATTTCCATATATCATTTCTTTGTCTAGATAAAGATATTTATGGATGTAATAATATGGATTCACTAGTAATATTAAATTCTGTCTCATCCCGAGACGACGTATAATAATAAAGATGCAAGATAGTATTTAAGTATTTAAGACACATAGCATTTAAAATAAATAAATAAATAAATTATATATATATATATATATATATAGGCATCACAACATACAAAATTAAATAGCTGTACTTTGAGATTTGCTAAACTTATAGTGAGTTAGATGATAGTAAAGGTAAACTAAATGTTAAAATATACAATAAATCAATTAATATCCAATAAATTAAAAAGTTCTCAAATATTGGTAGATGACTGAGGTACCGATATATATAAATATATTGTGAATCCTTAGTTTAAGGAAACCAGAAAAACCGGGGCTTAGAGGTTGTATTTAGACCTGAGGGATTGTATATATAAAGGGCAAGCTGTGTGTGACTTCTTGAGGAAGTGATGTGAAGGTGCTCTGGTTTTTCCTCCAGCTGATGAAGAGGCACCAGACTATGGCTCTGGTGTCCGACAATCAGGCACTGCCAAGATTTCTTTTGAGGACCAACAGTTTGAGAAGGTATTGACATTAAAACATTATTAATGGCTGGAAATACTCCTTGTGCATGGGAGCTTGATAATTTAATTTAATTCTTTTTTTTACTAATGTACATTTGTACAAACTTATATTTTTACAAAAAGCTGGAAAATGTATTGTAATGCCCTGGAAAATCACGTAAATTAATACTCGTAATATTAATACTCAAAAGCATGAGAACCATGACATGTACTAATATTCATATTCATAAGTGTTTCTCTTTCCTGTTGAGCAGTTCCAGTCAGAGTCCTGTACTTCTGGTCTTTCCTGTGCTGGCGTTTCTCAGGAAGAACTCCGAATTGTGGAGGGTGAGGGCCAGAATGCAGAGATGGGACTCTCAGCGGATGAAGTCAACAATAATACCTGTTCAGGTAAGAAATATGGAACATACTGTACATGCCATCTTCAAAGAAATTTTTTGGTCATCATACTCAAAATATGCTATTAAAGGGTATAGAGAAACATGTACTCCACGGTTCAAAGGATTGGGATTGGTTTAAGTTTTTTTTTAATGTATTTGAGTTTTTAATGTTCACAAAGTCTGCATTTATTTGATCAAAAATACAGTTAAAACATTAATTGTAAATAAGTATTAAAAGATAAACTAACAGTTTTCTTTTTTAATATATTTAATGTGCTCAAGAAACATTTCGTATCACAGGTTAAAACAGTTATGCTGCTTATTTTTGTGAAAACCATTATTGAAAGAACAACATTTATTTTGAACAGATCTTTTGTAAATGTCTAAACTGCCACATTTGATCAATTCAATGCATACTTGCTTAATAAAAGTATTAATTTAGCTGACCCCAAATGTTTAAGTAAGTAATATGTCCGCTTCCCATATAGTTTTCATATTATTTTAAATTGACATATTTTCTTTCATGTGCTCTTCAGTTAACCCAGAAGAGTTGGACAGCCCTGTAAAAACAGGTTTTGATGGCTTACTGGACGGTGCTCTGGATCACTTGAGGATTGGAGAAGTCTTCACATTCAGAGTTACTGTGCTGCAGGCATCAAGCATATCCGCAGAGTACGCAGACATATTCTGCCAGTTCAAGTGAGTGCCTCAGTCCTGTTGTGAAGTCTGTTTCCACTAGTTGACATTTGTCATTGTTCTAAATCTGATATACTTGCATTAAACTCCTCGTTTGTAGTTTTATTCACAGGCACGATGAAGCGTTTTCCACAGAGCCGTTGAAGAACACTGGACGTGGTCCACCACTTGGCTTCTATCATGTGCAGAATGTAAGCTTTGCACTATAACTCAGAGCACCACGTCACACTGTTTTTATTAAGCTGAGGGTAAAACACTCGTTTCTTCGATTTTCAAGATTGCCGTGGAAGTGACCAAGTCCTTTATAGAGTACATAAAGACTCAGCCGATTGTGTTTGAAGTCTTTGGACATTACCAGAAGCAGCCTTTCCCTGCGCTCTGCAAGGATCTCATTAGGTAGATCCTGGCAATATTTATTATTTCCAAATCAGATTAATATATGCTACAAATATCTGAATTCATCCATCAAAGTTATACTGAAATGACAGCCAGATCTCTTTTTTCAGTCCATTGCGCCCATGTAGACGGCAGTTCCCGAGAGTCATGCCTCTTTCCAAACCAGGTGAGAGCAATGACTATTTTTCATGACCATTAACATTAAAACCCCCCCTTTCACCCCATAGGCCACTGCATGTTTTATAAAAAAATAAAGCAGTTGCGATTGGTTAATGTTTCCGGCCAAATCACGTTGAGGCTGAAGCTGTTTAGCACATATTCTCCGTCTTTTGTGTTGCCTGTTTTATGTTGCTTTTTTTTGTTTTGGGTCCACGTGCCCATGTCATAGTCTTTATGTTGTTGGTGGTGGGTGTAGCCGCAGATAACGACACCCCTCCTGATCGAGAGAAGAACATGGACCTGATTCGCTTCCTGTTGCCAGAGGTCTTCAATGGGGCTCTGGTGGACTCGCTGTCAAGCCACGCCCTCAATGCAGCAGGCGTGGCTGTTTCCTACCTCCTTGAGGGGGAGGAGCAAGCCAGACTGCCGGCCCCGCCCTTGTCTATCTGTTCAGTAATAAAAGCGCAGAAGCCGGGTCTGTAATGGTTCTGAGTGCTTAAGGCCAAAGAATGTCCCTGAAACAGAACCTCTCGTCAGTCTAATGCACTGATAATATAATATAATATAATATAATATAATATAATATAATATAATATAATATAATATAATATAATATAATATAATATAATATAATATAATGTTGTCAAAAAACAGACTTTGGTACCAAGTCGATACTGAAAATGTAAAAAATGTGACGCTTTGACAAATGTTTAGCTGAATCGTAAATACTTCGGAATGGCCATTGTACTCAAGCTTTCATCAAATATGTTACAATGATCGCAGGTGTCTATCAGCTCTCAAACGCTCCTGGGCTTTGATCATTGTAGCCAATCACAGACATATCCGATGAGCTCGTGAACACTATGGCCAATCAGAGGTGTTTATGATTCCACTCAACAGTGCTCAAAACATCACATTTTGTTACATTTCAGTACCGAAGTCTGTACTTTTGTCAACACTAATAATATAATATAATATAATATAATATAATATAATATAATATAATATAATATAATATAATATAATATAATATAATATAATATAATATAATATAATATAATATAATAAATAGTGCTGGGCAATGAATAATTGCAATCAAAAAATGAAAGTTTGTGTTTACATGCGTGTGCACTGTGTATAATTATTTTGTATATATAAATACACACATATGCATGTATATATTTAAGAAAAATTTGTTATTATTGTTACAATTATTAATTGTAAATAAAATATTTATATATAGTATAAATTATGTATAAATATATACATGCAAATATTTCTTAAACACTTACAGTATATACATGCATATGTGTGTATTCATATATACAAAATAATTATACACAATGTGCACACATATGTTATGTAAACTCAAACTTTTATTTTGGATGTGGTTAATCGCAATTAATCGTTGCTCAGCACTAAATATGATATAATATAATTCTTGTTATTTCTTAAACATGTTATACTTAAACATGTGTGATATTTATGCAGTGTTCACTCATTTCCTCCAATCGGGAGTCACACAAAATCCCTGCACTGACAGACTGAAGGACGCTTTGTTCCAGGGACTGTTTTTCGGCCTGTTAATACTGTGTGTGGGTGTATGTATTTTTCTCTCCCTCAGCCTCTCCATACGAACCTTATCAAGCAGATGGACAAATTCTGGTCTTTCTCTCTGACATCATTCACCAGAAATAAATTGATGAATAGTACAGAAATAAGACTGTGTAACTGCATGAGTAAAACTGGTTGTTCTGTCACTTGAAACTGAGCTTGGTGATACAGTGGTCTCTAAACATTTGCAGGAAATTCATTTTGGGTAATAATTATTATTATTAGGTATTTCGTTGTTAGTTTCCTGTCTATTTATGTGTCATATTCAATGGTTTGTCTTACAGAAAGAGTAGGCTATATGACAGTTAAATGTGAGTTTAAGGAATAGTTCACCTTTATTTAGTCGTATTTAATTCTAAACCTAGCTTTGTTTCTGCTGAACACAAAATGTGAATTTTTGAGGAATTGTTTTTTTTAAAATATTATGTAAGAAAATGAGTAAAAGCAAAACATCTACAAAAAAGCAGCATAATTGTCTTCTGAAGCCACACAATATATTCTCCATGCAAGCCCATGAGAGAAGTAGAGAAGTCTGATTCCTTTCAAAAAATCAGTTGATCTAGTTCACAAAATCTGAATGAATCAAACAGATCCAGTTGTCTAGTTCAACTCACCGACTCAATATGCTGCTGTCGTATGATTTCAGAAGACTTGTATGAATCACATTGATTTATGAGACCTATATAATGCTTTTTTGTTGCTGTCATTCTGGTGCTTGATCCCAGTAACTTTCATTACACTGAAAAAAGTGGAAAAATCTCCCGTTGTGTTCCACAGAAGGAAAAAAAAAGTCATACAGGTTTGGAATGATGTGAGGGGTGAGAAAATAATTAGAGAATTTTCATTTTGAGGTGAACTATCCCTTTAATTCTGCTTGGCATATGCAGATGTTCAGGGATCACTGTTATTCACTTGACTTTATTCATCTTAACAGCAGTGTGCCTTTGCATCGGACCCCTGATTTCACACTCCTGGTCCTCTCTAACTATATTCTCTATTCCTCCTTTTATACTGTTCCTGTCTCCTGTGAAACTCTAGTATCCCTCTCATCTGCCTTTGAATTGTTATATATTTTGATCTATGATTAACTCAATATTGGTTTGACTCTTTTTGTTGTTCTTTCTTTCTCTATTTTCCGCATAGTACCTGCCACCAAACTGACAGCTCTCACACGACCCACAGCAGGACCGTGCCACTGTAAATACGACCTGATGGTCCTCTTTGAAATCTGTGAGCTAGAGGCCAATGGAGAGTAAGTGTCTTGTCTAAATAGTGACCTTTTCCTTTTAAATTAAATGTAACTGATTCAGTCTGAGCAGAATAGATTGTAAAAATCTATCGACTATCCATATAAAATGTTTTAATTGATTTTTAGATCACGATGTAAAGAAAATCATACCTGTTCTCATTCATATAATTGCTCTCAGTACCATCAGGAATCATTTAAGACACTTTACAACTCTTCCCAAAGGACATTTTACACACTTTAAATATACTGTATGTACAGTTTGGGTTATTTTTTTTAAAGAAATTAATACTTTAATTAATTAATACTTAATAATTAAATTAGTACTTAAATTAAATTAATTAACACTTAATTATTCAGCAAGGATGCATTTAATTTATTGCTGTCAAATTGATTAATCTCTATTAATTGTATCTAACATAAAAGTTTTTGTTTACATGATATGTGTACATATTATATTATAGATAAGTCTGTGTGGGTTTTTGTGTGTATATACTGTATACACACACATATTTATACATTTAAATATATTAGCTGTGAAAATTAGCTCGTTTCATGTTTTCAGTTTAACACATTAAAACATATTTAATGTAATTAATGCAGCATTCGTTTTTTTCTGTCATCCTTTGACAATCTTACATTATATGATCACACTCTTATTCATGAAAATGCTTTTAAACACACACACACACACAACTTGTGTGCACAGATAAACGAATGCCAGTATCGTGCGCACAGACAGCGCACCAGAATTGAGTTCTTTTTCGGACTTGAACAATGTCATGTATGCACTGTGGTCTGAAACTCAAATTAGTTATATTGTACATAAAATTGGCACCAGGACCTGTTAGAGAAACATTTTTGCTGTACACATATGACTAAATGACAATAAAAGCTGACTTTCTTTATCGAAATTTGATCTAATAAATTTGTTTTATGGTAACTTATATGAAAACAAAACAATGATGTCTAAGATCAATTATTTACCAGTATACCAAACTGGATATACTTACAAAAAAACATAATATATAATTAATATCAAATAATTATTATAAAGTACATATTTTAAGACATATTTTCTATATATAATATAGATTAAAATATATGACATATTATTAAGTAAATAATTATTCCTAATGAATAAATCTATCAGCGTTGTACAATAAATCCTACACTGTGTTTCTACATCCCAGAAAGCTTGACTGCTGGTTATTGTATTTGACATGTATCTGTCCATTGCAGCTATATCCCAGCCGTAGTGGACCATCGGGTTGGCATGCCCTGCCATGGCACATTCATGTTACATCAGGTACTGGAAAATGTTTTTGTTTTTTCTATCGTGTAACATAGAAACCATAGTCCATACTATTTTAGTACAATATGACATACAACATTACAACATTTACATAACAGGGCATCCAAAGGAGAGTTACAGTCACCATAGTACATGAGTCAGGAAGAGATATCGAGTGGAAGGAAGTGCGAGAGCTGGTTGTAGGTGAGTTTGGCCTCAAATTCGAACCCATGTTCAATGCATATGAGTAAATAAGAGCGATATTGTGATATTTTCGGGATGTCGGGAACGGGATGTATTTTCACGTTTGACAGGGCGCATCCGGAACACACCTGAAGCAGATGAGGCGATCATCGACCCCAATATTCTCTCTCTCAACATACTGTCTGCAGGATACATTCGACCCACACAAGATGACAGGTACCTTCCAAACCCTAATAAATATGTCAAGAAGACCAGTTTAGAAGTTTACAAATAAAATGGACATTCTCATGTTTTTCACACTAAACATAAGAAAATGAGGCTTGTCATTTTATATACAGTTGTGCTCAGAATTAATGGCACCAGTGGTAAATATGATCAAAACTGGCTGTAAAAAATAAATTTGCATCATTTATCTGTTTGATCTTTCATTAAAAAAAAGCCCAAAATTGAACCTTTCATTGAAGTAAAAGAATTGAAAGTGGGGGGAAATCACATTATGAAATAAATGTTTTTCTCCAAAACACGTTAGCCCCAATTATTGGCCACCTTTTAGTAAATACTTTTTGCTATCTCCTTTTGACAAGATAACAGCGCTGAGTTTTCTCCTATAATGCCTGACAAGAGATCAGAGACCATTCCTCCATACAGAATCTCTGCAGATTCCCAGATCCATGTTGGTGCTTCTCTTCAGTTCAGCCCACTCGTTAGGTCAGGGAACTGGGATGGTCAGAAGCTTATTTTTTTGATCAAAAAAAAAAAAAATTGTGTTGATTTTGATGTATGTTTTGGATCGTTGTCCTGATGGAACAGGCCCCATGGCCCATAAGATTTCTTGCAGAAGCCGTCAGGTTTAGATTTTTTATCTGTTGATATTTGATAGAATCCACGATGCCATGTATCTAAACATGAAGTCCAGGACCTCTAGCAGAAAAACGAGATCCAACGGTATATTAAATTATACACATGGGGTACTTTTTTTTGTGTGCACCAAACCCATCTAGCGTGTCTGACCACTGAATATGCTGGAGTTTATTTTTGGATGAGCGAGGGGGATTTTTCTTGAAACCCTCCCAAACAACATGTGATGATATAGGGGTTGTTTGATGTAAATATATACAGTATATATATATATATATATATATATATATATATATATATAGGCTTTCTGACCCCAAGATTTAACTAATCTCTGCAATTGTCCATCTGTGATCCTTGAACAATCTTTGGCCACTCAAACTTTCATCCTCACCGTCCTCTTCCTGGCTGATTCTTAACATCTTTAGTTGATTGGAATTTCTTAGTTATTGCCCTGATGGTCAAAATGGGGATTTTCAATTCTTTAGATATTTTCTTACAGCCTCTTTCTATTTTGTGATGCACATCAGAACTATATATTCTTTGGTTTTACTCATTGTGATGGATGATTAAGGGACATTTAGCCTTTGTGTTTCCTCATATTTAAACTCCTGTGAAACAAGAAGTTATGGCTGGACAATTACATGTTTCTAGTCACCCTGGTGTACTAAAAAAAAAGTAAACTTTAATGGGAATATACTTCCGAGATATTTTAATCGTAAAAACTCCAGGGGTGCCAATAATTGTGGCCAACGTGTTTTGGAGAAAAACATTTATTTCATAACGTGATCCCCCCCCACCCCCCTACTTTCAATTCTTTTACTTCAATGAAAGGTTTGATTTTTGGCAATTTTTTGAATGAAAGATCAAACAGATAAACGATGCAGATTTATTTTTTACAGCCAGTTTTGATCATATTTACCAGCAGTGCCATTACTTCTGAGCACGACTGTATAAGAACACTGCCACAAGAGGTTACAGTACATGGGAGATTTATTCTTCTGTCATGAAGCCTTTTTTCTCTTTGAACACTCAGTAGCAGAGTTTGTCCACTTCAGCTGTTTCCCTCTCCACTCTTTTTAATACCAGGTCTCCATTTTAGTGATTGTTGCACTTAATACGACTCTCTCCTCAGCCTTGGCATATGATCTGAGAGCTGAAGCCAAGCCTGTGAGACAAACAGTTCTCTGCGCAACTTTAAAGCTGCGAGTTTTTGCCAAAGAGAAATGAGTCAGTGAACCAAACCTTCCAAACAGCTCTTAAAGGCTTGACACAAGGGAGTGATTCAGAATCAAACGGCAATGCAACAGTGCCAGCCTTAGATAAAGACCAGAAGTATATTTACACTTTTATGTTCCTTTGCACAAACATAACTCGCTGCACAGTTGTGGGCACTGACAACTGACACATCCTAGAATTGCCATATTGAGGCTTTTAGTATTAAAAAGTCTCTTAAGCTTACCAAGGCTGCATTTATTTATTAAAAGTAATATTGTTCAGTAATATATTTTTACAGTTTTACAACAAATGTAACTGTTTTCTATTTTAATACATTTTAAAATGTAATTTATTTCTGTGATGGCAAAGCAAAATTTTCGTTACTCTAGTATTCTATGTCACATGATCTTTCAGAAATCATAATAATATGCTGATTTGGTGAAAACAGTTGTGCTGCTAGATATTTTTTTGGAAATATCAAAAATACTTTATTTTTCAGGATTTGATATATAGAAAGTTCAAAAAGAACAGCATTTGTTTGAAATCAAAACCTTTTGTAACATTATAAATGATAAATGTCTTCACTGTTACGTTTGATCAATTTTATGCATCCTTGCAGAATGAAAGTATTCATTTCTTAAAAACAAATAAAAAAAATAAAAAAAAATCTTACTGGCAGCTGACCCCAAACTTTTTGAACATTAGTGAAAGTAAAATGTTTTAATTTTACATATTACACAAGGAATGTAATTAACAGTGTTTTTTCTGTTTTTTTGTTTGTTTGTTTTTTTACTTTAAAGGTTGAAATTGTGTCAAACTATTTTCAAGATATATTTGAAGATATTTCTTCCTGACAAAACTGCTTCTGTTCACTCTTTTTTTCATTAAAAGCATCAATATTATATAATTAATCAACAAACAACAAATCATTTGGGGATTTAACTGAAAAATTGTTGTTTTTTTTAAAGGGAAATGGTTTTAGATGAATTGTTGAATTAGAGGAAAGTATATCATACAAAAATATTTTGGGGGAAATGTTGATAGTAAGATTGCTGTTTTCTGAAAATTAAATATGCTAGTAGCTCCAAACACATTTGACATGTGCAAAATGAACAGATTTATTTTTATTTTTTGACTGATTTATATGGTACACAGGTGGAAAAAACTTAGATAAATGCTTAAAATATATTAACACAACCTCTCAACACACCACTTTTTTGTTGGATTGTGTTTAATTATTGCAGACACCTGTCTGCATGACATAACAGCCAGTCAGGATACGCATCGCTTGACTGACAGACTAATTCCTGCAACTGCTCTTTTTCTGTTTAATGAAACTCATAACTAATAATTCCCCTCCCACTGCACACACGAGACAAAATGTGGTTCTAGTATCCACAATGAAAGGAGGTCACAATTCAATCTGAAGATATGAATTCACTATTTTCCAACATGCAGGAAGTTGAAAATGGTTCTCTAGTTCACCTCCTTGCTGGTTGTGCAAGTCTTCCCTTCTGATGCTGGTCTGCATTTGTGTCCATTCTCATCTGTTCATTCCATTCGCTCTGTCCACACTCCATTGATCAGATTCAGCTACTATACCCTCTCACTGAACCACACAGTGGATCGAGCTCCTGGCATCTCTGCTGGTCACCATCACGTCGTTGTTTAAGAAAGCTTAACGTTAAAAACAGTTGAAGCTTATTTATGAAACTTTACTAATAGAATCCATCATTAACATTCTCTCATCATGATAGTTATTGGAAACGAATCGGTTACCTAACGTAACCTCGGTTCTCTCTAGATGAGGGAACGAGTATTGCGTAAGCTAGCTTACGCTACGGGAAAGATTCATCTTTGCTGAGAAGTTGAAGCCAAAAAATTATTCCATAATTTTGTAATCATTGTCAACGCAGTCTCTTCTGAGGCAGACCATGAGCGGGCTAGCTAGCGGCTCATTGGTTCGCTCAGAGAGAATGCACGAACCTATGGGAGAGCAGCGCTGAGTCCGCGGCCAATGAGCGGACGGCGCTCGCTTACTGCGTCACAGCCCGCCAAAAGGGGCGTGGCTACAGTGTATAAAGGTCGCTCTCCCAGCTCGTTCGTTGATTCTGTAGCATGAAGCGAAACGCTGGTGGCGCAAGCACGGCCGGGAACGCAATACTCGTTCCCTCATCTAGAGAGAACCGAGGTTACGTTAGGTAACCGATTCGTTCTCTTACGAGAGGTTCTCTCGTATTGCGTAAGCTAGCTTACGCTACGGGAACACCTGGTCAACGCCGTGCGCGCTAAGTAACCACTAAGCATCCCAGGGGAACACCGGGGGAATCTATAAGTGGATGAAGATAATACGGCGGCCAGATAGCGGCCGTTACTATCTAGTGCAAAAACGCCCAAGGCGGCCGGCGAAGGCGGGCCGTGATGTGAAGGCTAATGCATAAGCACATAGGGGAACACAAGGGGTGAAACGGTTGTGATGGAACTCCCGATAGTGCGGCTTCTATAGGAGGGCTGTGAGTACTAGACCGCCAGAATTTTAGCCTGTAAGGCTGGAACTTCCAAGTTGTAAAATCTGACAAAGGTGGAGGGGGAAGCCCATCCCGCAGCCACACAAATGTCGTGGATGGAAATCCCGCAGGACCATGCCCACGATGAGGCCATGCCTCTGGTGGAATGAGCCCTGATGCCCAGAGGGCAAGGCAGGTCTTTAGCGGCATAAGCAGAGGCAATCGCGTCTACTATCCACCTGGATAGGGTCTGTTTCGAGGCGGCTAGTCCCTTGGTGCGGCCACCGAACGACACAAACAGCTGCTCCGAGCGTCTGAACGCGGTAACGCGTGTAGTGTACACTCTGATAGCCCGAACCGGGCAGAGGCGGTGAGCGTCACGTTCGCTATCGGATGCAGGCAGCGCCGATAGAGAGATCACTTGCGCCCTGAAAGGGGTACCAATCGCTTTTGGAACATAACCGTGTCTAGGCTTTAGAATGACTATGGAGTCACTCGGTCCAAACTCTAGGCACGCGGCGCTCGAAGACAGCGCGTGAATGTCCCCCACACGTTTTACTGAGGCGAGAGCCGTCAGAAGAACGGTTTTTAACGAGAGGTATTTTAGCTCCACGGACTCAAGTGGTTCAAACGGTG